AAGTAGGATTCTGAAGCACCAGAAGCAGTCACGTAGGCTCAACGCATTCGAAAATTATATACAGGGGGTTATATATAGGGGGATATGTATGTATTTTATTAAAAAAAATTATATTTAAAATAATATAAATATAATTGTCCATTTTTATTTAAATAATATAATGGGCTGACTCGCCTAATGTCGGGCTGACCAACACAAAAATTCGAGATTGATCAAATATTATGGTAATTAGTAATTACTAATCCCTATCTATTAATATATAATAAGGATTAACATATTTCACTTTTAGTAATCTTTTCCCGTCAAATTCATTAATTATAGCCTAAAAATAGTAATTTAAAAAACTTTCATTAATCATTGCCTAATTATATTAGATATGTTTTTCCGATGTTTGTTTCCTTTTATGATATGAAATGAAAATCCAAAACAATATCATCTTTTTGTAGGTCCATATCAATTTGGAATTTAGAATCTCTTGCCTTAGGATATTCAATTAGAAAATATATTATTCATTTAATACTTTGATATCTTTATGTAAAGGAAACAAAGTTATTATTTAAATAAGTTGATTATCACACAGTATTCTACGCATATTTAATACTTCGATTTGTGTCTGTTTTAATAAATTCTTGGTTTTCTTTAATTACGTTGATAGTGGTTTTGTAGGCAAAAATTATGTAAATAATTATATGTAGTCGATTTTGGAACTCTTATTTATCAAGGATTTTTTTTTTTTTTTAATTTTGACAGATTTATTAGAATCATTTATTTGGATTAGCATATATGTTACATACACACAAAAAAAAATAATTTTATAGTAATATTTAAATTTACATGGCCTAAATTTTGGAATTCTCATTTGTGAGGATTTTTTTTATTTTATCATATTTATTAGAACCAACAATTACAAAATATAAAATCATGTTCTTATCTAAATATATTTATATTAGTATTTAAATATATTTTTCATTGTAGCAGATTTTGAAAATGAACGATTTTATATGAGATATACAAATCTTTCTTTTTAGATAAACACCAATTCCCTTGATTGGTATTTTTTTTGTCAATTGTTTTTAAAAAGAAAATTTTCAAAATTTTGTATAGTAAATCGATTTTTTATTTTTGTATACACAAAATATAAATTTATTGCAAAATCTATATATATGTATATATATATATATATATATATATATATTTACTACCTAAAAAGTTGTCACACATATAATAGGAAAGTTGTTCAATTAAAAATTGTTCAGTTTGAAAATATATAACAAGTTGTCACACATTCAATTAAAAATTGTTCGGTTTGAAAAAATTAGCCTGAAGTAATGTCTAATCACTAATGTTTTATATTTTATATCTAATATATATAATCTCTCTCATAAAATTAGTGTGATGTAGTATTTAATGTTTTGTATTATTCATACATATTTTTGTAGATATACACCAATTCATTTGTCCAACTGTTGTATAAATTATCATATTATAATAGATCCATTTTAGACTTTCATTTAAGTTCCAGAGGCACCAGTTCCTTCTGATTTTAGGGTTCCGCTTAATAGTCATGGTCAGTCTTTTTGTATAAAAAATATAGAAATATTAGTGAATATTATATAGCTAATCAAGTTTAATCGATATTAAACTAACAACTCATTTGTCTGACTGCCTAAGTAAATTATCATATTATAAAAAGACTCATCTTAGGATTTCATTTAAATGCTATAGCACCAGTTACTTCAAATCTTAGAGTTTCAATTAAGATCAGGGTCAGTCTTTATGTGCATTGACATAATATTAAAGAAATCGGTTCTTAGCAACGACCGATCATATGTTGTTGTTTTTACGTGTAAATAATAGATAAGAGATGTGCATTAGCATGTTATTATTATTATTATTTTTTTTTTTTATCACGACCAATTGTATGTTGTTACGCGTGTAAGTAATAGGTCAAAAAGAGTCAATGTCAACATTTATTGTACGTTGGTATGTTAAGTAATAGATCAAGAAGAGTCAATGTCAATATCTATTATACGTTGACATGTTTTTAAAGAAATCAATTTTTAGTCACGGACAATTATGTTGTTTGTTTCGCGTGTAAGTGATATAAAAGTGTTGAAAATATTAGTTTGTGTGAACGACGAGTTGCTCAGTTATTGAACAAATAATGTTGTGTACAAAAAAGTTTAAATAATATTTTTTTTTTTTTGCATGAGGAACATTTTATGGTTTGATAATTTTCCTACGAATTATCACTCATTTATTTATTAATACATTTTAATTTTTTAATATTCTCTAAATTAAATATAGCCCGTGCATCGCACGGGTTACAAACTAGTAAAATAGAAAGTGGGTTGCAATTTATATTGACCTGGTTAGGTTAAGCAACGGTGCTGTTTGGTGAAATATCGCATCGAACCGCCAAAAACCTAAAACCGAAATTGACAAAAATAATAACCGAACTGCACCACAATTAAAAAAAAAAAAAAAAACTGAACTGAAACCGAACCGAAATTTTTATACACTAAAATAACCAAATCGAACAGCACCGAAATGCATGGTTCGGTTCAATTTTTCGGTTTTATCTCAATTTTTATATACAATTTATGCAATTTGGTGCGGTTCAGGCAAAACCGCACCAAACTGAACAAAACCGAAAACCGAACTTAAGAAAAATTATAACCGCACCGCACCGCAATGTTGGGAAAAACCAAACTGAACCGATTTTTTTTTATATATATTAAAAAAATCGAACCGAACCGCACCGAATTGCTCGGATTCGGTTTTTTAGTTTCGACTCGATTTTTGCTCACCCTTAGACTTGGTAAACGGAAGAAGAAAAATGTAAGAAAAAAAAAATAGCAAATAAATGTCAGGTAATAAATTGTAACACACTGAGTAGTTGTGATAAATTGTTTTTCAAAGATGTAGTTGTAAAGTTTTCTTTGTTAAATGTGTGAAACTCGTGATTTTTCTCAAAATCTTGAAAGTTGAAACTTTAAAATTGTATACGCTTTTGTGGTGATATTGTCATGAAGCAAAATAGCAAACTGGTCCCAACTTCATATTATTTTTAAATTAATATATACATATAATACATAACATTAAATTTTAACTTTTTGGATACTAAAATACAGAATAAACTAATATTTTTCCCACCATAGAGGTAATATTTAACAATATTACATATACCAATCATTTCAATAGAAATTATAAACCAAGTCTTTTTTTTTTTTGAAGTATTTTGTCACTAGACGATAGTATTTGACACTATATTCCATTTTTTTCGATTATTTTTCACTTTATCGAGATAGGACTTGGTCGTTGTGTCATTGACCAAAAGGGAAAAATAAAATAAAATAATAATATGGTCACTTTTTTTAATATTATGAGTACATGAATGTGATAACCAAACGTTTAAAATGCAGAATAATATTTATATGTAGTTTAAGACAGAACAATATCTATACACATAATAATATTAATATTATGTCAGTATCTATTTTTATGAGAATCTTTGAATTGTGCCGGGCTTTATATATATTGAGTGTGATCTCTGACTTGTCCTTAAAAATAATAATTAATATATTGCCTTTGCTTTGCTAATAATAATAACTAGTACAACGTCCGTGTATTATACGGGTGCTTGTTAATTTTTATTTAAAATTTAAAATTAAAGAGAAAAAATACTTGAAAATTTAAAACCTTTTATAAAAATATATATATTAATATATTATTATACATTAAGTATGAAATTTTTTATTTGTGCGACTTATCTGTATTATATTATAAAATTTTTTTATAACTTACAAAATATATCTACATTAAACATAAATATATCAATTGAGAAATAATTTTATTTTTCTAATGAATTTTTATAAATATCATTATTATTTTTTTATTATAAAGATAAATATAATTTATTTATTTAATATATACAATATGGATGTCAAATCAAACATCATCAAAAGATGATTATTTTGATATATTATATATGTAAAACCGATAAGAAATACAAAAGTTATCAACTTTTAAAATACATTTACAATTCAATAGCTAATTGAAGGAAACAAATCAAAAGTCAAAGATATATTAGTCACTTAGTGTCTCACTATGTAAAATTACAAAGAATTAAAGGGACAAGTGATATTAAAATACCTAAGTTAACTAAATAATATTTATGGAATGTCCTAACCTAGATTATTAATTATTAATATATCAATATTATTTGTCCAAACCTAATTACGAAACATGATTATTTGCCAAGTAGAATTCTGAAGCACCAGAAGTAGCCACGTAGGCTCAACGCATTCGGGAATTATATATAAGGGGATAATAATAATAATAAAAAAGCCTCTGTCTTGCTAATTGAGATAGCCTATAGGGTTAGTAGCAAGAGATTAGCCCATGAGATTAAGTGCCATGAGATTGTTCCATTTGTTTCGTTTCATTTGTTTTATTATTTATTTTGATATATTTTTTTTTAATTTTTTTTATCCTCCCCATATGTATTATTTATATTTTTGTATTTTTCATTAATTTCATTTAATCAGTAAACATTTTTCTTTCATTTCCCCACGCTGAATGAATACAAAAAGCATATATAAACTATTTAAATAAGCTAGCGAATGGTGCTTACCATACACACTCTACTGATGTAAAAGATTAACAGGCGCCGGAATGGTGCTTACCATACACACTCTACTGACGTTAAAAGATTAATAGACGCCGGATTTCACACTATCTCATAGTTTCACCAATGCACAATCAAACTTATTAGCTCTAAATAAATTAATACTACACACATTTTACAATTTACATCATACAAACAACAAACTAAGGGGCTCTAATATTTTAAGAACCCATTTGAAAGTGAGTTGCAAGCAGTTGAAGCAGAAAACTTGACAGAGCAGAAGAATGTACAATTTGGGGCAACAAGGCTTTTATTTTTATTATTATTATATATAAATATATATTATATATATTTTAATTCAATTTAAAGGTTAAAATATAACAGGATCACCCTCATTACTGACCCCATTACTCTCTTCATGGCTGGCCCAATAGCTGCTGCTTCCATCTGGTCCAGAGATCTTAAATCTGTTCAATACAAAATAATCAAACCTCAGAAACATGTAAAACCTTTCATGCTCATTTATTTATTTAAATAGATTGGGATAAATTACAAATTCTACCCCTTGAGCTTAGCCTAAGATCAGAAAACTCCAGTTATCTTTCAGAGTCGAAACACTTTAATTTTTGGATGAATTTCAGTAGTCATTCTATTTGTAGATACAAATCTTAAAGTAGTATCTGTATTTTTGAAACACAACTCAATGTCTCAATTATTTTCTTCTTGGTGTTAGGCTAAACAAGAAGGGCTGCTTTGTAATTAATTATTTATATATATTTTGCAACATTAAAAGAACCAGACAGACCGCTCGAGAACAGATTTCCCTTCCTTGTACTTTTGGCTATCCTCATGAGCAACTTCCTGGAGATGGACAGACGAATTAATATTATTACAACTGCACGAGCATAATTCACGAGTATCTAACTTTTATATATATATATATATA